CTTTGTACTCTCTATTGCCCTCCCTCAGCCACCTGAGTACTGAGGTTTACAAGTACATGTCACCATGCCCACCTTGAAAAAATACTGTTTCCCTTTTTAAAAATCTAGTATTTTAAACTATGTATATATGTATGTAGGAGAGTGGAGGGCATATGTATGTGAATGCAGTCCCAGCAGAGGCCAGAGGTACCAGAGGGATAAATAAAGTTACAGGTAGTGGTGAGCTGCCTGGCACGGGTTCTGGGAATTGAACTCAGATCCTCTAGAAGAGCAGTGCACGCTCTTAACCACTGAGCCATCTCCTTAGCCCCATCCCTGATGTGGAGTACCCTCTGTGTACTGTGATTACCATTAATGAATAAAGAAACTGCTTTGGACCTACAGCAAGGCAGAACTTAAGTAGGCAGGGAAAGCTAGGCTGAATGCTGGGAGAAAGAAGGGCGGAGTCAGGGAGAGGTAATGCAGCCACCTGAGATAGATGCTGGGAACTTTAGCTGGTAAGACACAGCCATGTGGTGATACACAGATTAAAAGAGATAGGTTAAATTAATATGTACAAGTTAGCCAATAAGCTAGAGCTAATGGGCCAATCAGTGATTTAATTAATAGTTTCTGTGTGATTATTTCAGGTGTAAGCTAGCCAGCCGACTGGCTGGGAACCAACGAGCGGCCTCCTTCCTCTACATTTTGGGGATGAGCAGCCGGGAACGAACAAGCAACCCTCTTTGCAATACGTCCCCACCCCCACACCTTTTAAAATGATGTGTTTGCTTTTGTTTTATGTTTGTGAATGTTTTGCACGAGTATATGGAAGGGCATTGTGTGTGTGCCTGGTGCCCATGAAGGCCATAAGAAGGTTCCAGATCCCCAGGAACTGGGATTACAGGAAGTTGTAAACTGATGTTTGAGTACAAGGACCCAAATCTGGGTCCTCTAAGAACAGCTCCCATTGCTCTGAACCACTTCTCCTCCAACCTCTTTGAAATAGGACCTCATGTAGGCAAGGACTTTGTGTGTGTGTGTGTGTGTGTGTGTGTGTGTGTGTGTGTGTGTGTAGGTCAGAGGACTTTGTGGAGTTGATGCTCTCCTACCATGTGAATTCTGAGGACTGAACTTGAGTCTTCCAGTTGACACAAGTACCTTCCTGCAAAGCTATCTTGCAGACCCCACTTTCATATTTCCTTAAAACAAAACACAGTGAGTTAGGGATAGAGTTCAATTGGTAGAATGCTTGCCTGGCAATCAAGAAATCCTAGGTGTGAGCCCTACCACCACATTAACCAGGTGTGGTGGCATATACCTTTGATCCCAGCACTTGAGAGGCAGAGGCAGGAGGATCAGGGATCAGGAGTTCAAGGTTATACCCAGCTACATTGTGATCCAAGACTTGCTTGGGCTACATAAAGCTCTTCCTTAAAAAAAAAATCAGAAGTTCCAGAAATACAGAATATAACAAACACCCACATTTCCACCCATCCATAATTAATAGTGAGGTTGTAGCTCAGTGGTAGAGTGTGTGCCTGGAATGTACCAGACCCTAGGTTCAGTTCCCAGTAATACAAAAAGCCTAAAACCAACCAAACAAAAGCAAAGTCATTAATAAGGATTGGCATTGTTCATTTGATTCCAGTCCAGTTCAGAAGAACTCAAGAATTACACCCATGACCAAACCCCTACAGGGCTGCCAGGCTCCGTCATGTCTTACGGCATACATTTGCTGCCCTTCAGTACCTTATCTGCTCTCTTAGTCTCTCTCCCTCTTTATCACTCCACAGATAACCTATAATGCAAACACTATGCTTAATATTTAGCCTCTAGATCATCATTACTGTTTGTATCTTCATTGTCCCCCAAGGCCAGAAAAGCTTGATCTTAGCCTATGGCCTAGGGGAAGATGGCTGAACAAGAGGTAGAACATAGCGGAAGAAGTCAGTCCCTCAAGGTGCTGTGCCCTTGAAAGGGGTGTTAAGACCTGCTCTCCCTATGTCTCTTTGACTTCTCAGTCACCGTGAGTTCAGCAGGTCTCTTCTGTCACATGTCGTCACCGTAGTGTATTGTGCATACCACCACAGGTTCAAAGCAATGGCCAAGCTGAAACAACTTCAAGCCAAAGTCAACCGTTCCTCTTTCTGTTTTAGACATTCAGCCATAATGATAGGAAGTTTACACATATTTGGCTTTTGAGGTGTACCTGGGTTGGTAGACAGCTCTAGAGTAAGCCATCATAGAAGTGTAATTGGAGGATTGAGGTGGTTCCGTGGGTAAGTTGCTCACAGGCAAGCATGAATTCCTGAGTTCAGACCCCAGAACCCATGAAACAGCTTGGGCAGCAGGATGGATCTGTTTTTACCACTGGAAAAGTTCAGAAAGGCAGATCTTGGAGATTCACTACCTAGCCCAAATTGTGATCCCCGGGTTTAATGAGAGACCCTGATTAAAAATATATAGTGGAGAGTGATAGATGAAAGATACCAGACATTGACCTGTGACCTCCATACACTCCCACACAGGAGACTGCCCACTCACATGCACACTTCCACACCACACACACGCTACACACACACTTGAAATTTGACTGGAAAATTTCTTCTCTGATAGTAATTCAGTCGATTCTTGTATACAGAAAGATTCAGAGTTTTCTGGAGTTGAAATTCAAATTGGGTTCCTTTGGGAAATGATTTATCAAGGATTAAACACATTGTTTAGTGATTGATGTGGGTGGGCCCAAAACCCTGTGGATGGTGTCACCCTGTTACCAGCTGGTCCTTGGGTATGTAATAAAGCCAGCTGAGCAGACCATGGGTAGAAAGCCAGTAAGCAGTGTTCCCTCGTGGCTTCTGCTTCAGTCCTTGCCTCTAGGTTTCTGCTGGGGCTTTCCCTGATGACAGACTGTGACCTGTAAGCCAAATAAAGACTTTATACCCCAGGTTGCTTCTGGTCATGTTCTTTACCACAGCAGAGTAAGGCTAACTGAGATACCCTTCAGATCGTCTTTAAGTCACATATACCTGTGTTTATCTCAGAGCAGCAGACCTCGGCCTGCGGGTCATGACTCCTTCAGAGGTCACATGTCAAGACATCTTGCATCTCATATATTTATATTATGATTAATAACACTGGCAAAATTATAGTTATGAGGTAGCAATGAAATAATTTTATGGTCGTGGCTCTTCATAACATGAGGAACTGTATTAAAGGGTCTCAGCATTAGGAAGGTTGAGAACCACTGCTCTAGAGTGACCATTATAAAATGAACATGAATAATAGCTGGTGTGTTGGTTTGAAAGAAAATGGCCTCCAAATGGAGCTATGTGAGTTTTATCTCAATAGGTCAATTATGCATGGTGGGTCACACCTGTAATTCTGGTACTTAGGTGACTGAGACATGAGGATCATGACTTCAAGACCAATCTAGGTTACACACTCTCAGGCCAGCCTGGGCTACATATCATGACCCTGACTCAAAAATAAAACTTGAGAGTTAGAGAGATGGCTGGCTCAGCGGCTAAGAGCATGTACTGTTCTTCCAGAAGACCTGAGTTTGATTCCTAGCACCCATGTGAGGTGCCTCACATAAATTCCAGTTCTGGGGGTATGCAACTTCTCTGACCTCTGTGGGCATCTGCATGCATGTGGAAGACCTAAGCACAGACATATAATTTAAAATAATAAAAATAAATCTTTTAAAAGAGAGAGGCTGGAGAGATGGTTCAGTGGCTGAGAATACTTGGTGCTCTTACAGAAAGCCCAGGTCATTTCTAGCACCCACAGGATGGTTCACAACTATCCATCCATAACTATCTCCAAGGAATCTGGCATCTTACCTCTGTGGACACCATACATGCATGTGGTGCATATACATACATCTAATCATAATATATAGGCACATAAAAATAAAATGTAAACTTGCCATACTAATACAACTGAGAAAAATAACATGCTTAATAGATGCAAAAAATAACTTTTTAATTTTGAAGTTCTGTTACCTTTTTTGTTATTGTTGTTCCCTATGCTTTTGGTGTTATAGCCAAAAAGTCATTGTCAAATTCAGTATATAAATTTTCTTAAGGGTTAATCAGGCAGTGATAGTGTGTGTATTTAATCCCAGCACTTGGGAGGCAGAGGTATGGGGATCTCTGTGAGTTCAAAGCCAGCCTGGTCTACAGAATGAGTTCCAGAACAGCCAAGACTTCACAGGGGAACCCTGTCTTGAAAAACTAAAACTAAATAAATAAAAAGATAAAATAAAAAGAAATAAATTCTTGGGGGTTAGAGAGATATCTGGGTTAAGAGCATGGTGCTCTTCAAGAGAGCTTGAGTTTGATTCCCAGCACCTACACTGAGCAGCTCAAACTCCCCATAACTCCAATTACAAGGAATCCAATGCCCTCTTCTGGGCTCCACCGCACAGGTACACATGATGTGTGTGTGTGTGTGTGTGTGTGTGTGTGTGTATGTGTGTGTGTGTGTGTGTGTGTGTGTGTGTGTATTCACGCACACACATTGTTCTAGTTTGCTTTCTGTTGCTGTGATTAAAACATGTGACTATAGGCCATCCTGGTCTACAAAGCAAGTGTCAAGACAGCCAGAACTTTTACACAGAGAAACCTTGTCTTGAAAAATCAAACAAAACAAAACAACCAACTAAACAAAATATGACTTTAAACAACTTGGGGAGAAGGGTTTATTACATTTTACAGGTTAGAGCCTATGATCGTGAGACATCAAGGTGAGATACCTACAGAGTGATTTACTGAATTGCTCCCTCTGACTTGCTCAGCTACCACCTGCCCAGTGATCCAACACCACAGTGGGCTGAACCCTCCTACACCAATCAACAATCAAGAAACTGTCCCAGGAACATGTCCACAGGCCATCTCATAGAGGCCGATTCTTTAACCGAGGTTCCCTCTTCTGGAGTGTCTCTAGTTTGCCTTCAGCTGACAATAAAAGCTAACCAGCACCCTTCCTGTCGCAGCCGCCATTGGAGAGCAGCAGCCATGGCCCTGTGCTACCCCATGGCCGTGGGCCTCAACAAGGGCCACAAAATGACTAAGAACGTCAGCAAGTCGAGGCACAACCGACGTCACGTGCACCTCACAAAGCATACCAAGTTTGTGAGGGACATGATCCAGGAGGTGTGTGGCTTCGCACCCTACGAACAGCGCACCATGGAGTTGCTTCAGGTCATTAAGAAGAGGGTGGGCATGTACATAGGTGCCAAGAAGAAGCGGGAGGAACTGAGCAACATGCTGGCTGCCATGAGGAAGGCAGAGGCCAGAAGGACTAATCCCCATCCCCACTCCTGCCTCCAATAAATGTTGCTGTGGCACAGAAAAAAACAAACTAACTAACTAACTAACTAACCAGCATATACGGTCACATAAAAAAGTTTAGTTTTCCCTTGTGCATTTTTAGGTTTTGCTTTCAAAAAGCGTGTGTGTGTGTGTGTGTCTGTGTGTGTGTGTGTGCATGCACACATAAATTCACACAGAGCAACATTCCAGTCAGTGTTTCACTACATGGGTCCAGGTGGTCAGGCCTGCTAACAAAGCCTTTACCCACTAAGCCATCTCACCAGCTCTCTACAGTGTTAAGTGCGGGTCTTGGATCCCATTTTAGTATAAAATATAAGTCAAATTCATTTTTTTACATATATACATTTTTTAATATTTAAATTTAATTTTTTATATGTATGGATGTTTTACCTGCACGTATGTCTGCTCTCAACTTGCATGCCTGGTGCCCTTGGAGGCCAGAGGAGGATGGGATCTTCTGGAACTGAAGTTATAGACAGTTGTGAGCCACCATGTGAGTGTTGGGAGCCAAACTGGGTTTGCTGAAAGAGCAACTAATGATCTTAACCACAGAGTCATCTGTCTGGTCTTCATTTGTTTGTTATTATAATAGTGTTTTTAGTTTTGCTCCTTTTAAAAAAGGTGTATACAGTATATTTACTCCATATTTTCCAGAGAATTGAAAAAATTCAAATAATCATTGTATGGTATATCTACTGTGTTACATAAGGCTTAAAAAAAAAAAAAAGACTATGTAGCCTTGGTTGACCTGGGATTCAGGACACTCCAGAGAGCTGGGATTCCAGTGTCATTGAAACAATTTACCTCATCCCTTTGAATTACAACACTTAATTCCATACCAACAGCAAAACCACAACATAGGAAGATGCCTCTCTTCTAATACCAAACCTGTGTTTTGCAGGTTCTTTTTAGTGGTTGGTTTTACTACAAATGAATTTAAATAACTACACAGAAATAATCTCAACACTACTTAGCATATCCTCCTACGTCAAATATCTAGCGAAGACAGGTTAGCAAAAGAAAAAAAATCGGGCCTTCCATCCCACAGTTTTTGCACCCAAGTTTAACCCTTTTTCTAGGGCTTTAAAAAGAGGAAAAAAGTGTTATGAAAAAAAAAATGGTCTTCGATGTCATTGACGTAGAAATACTGGGTTTTCTATTATACAATTTGTGAGCCCTTTGCCTAATAATGCGCTCTTGAGTAACATCTTAACTTCGCTGACCTTTTAAAAATCAGAGTAATATCCAAGGGCTGGTTGCAGGTCTCCAAGTGCGTGCTTAGAAAAGTGTCAGGTACCACTGAAAGGTCACTTTCCCCTCACAACTGAAAAGGACAGGAGTAAGCACCATCACACCAGGAGCCTAGCTTGACAGCTTTCTGCATTCCTACAAGCCCCTCGCCCTCTAGAGCCCCAGGCAGCCAGCACAGCAGTGACGTGAGAATGGAAGACTCCCGGTTCCAGGGGATTCAACGCCTTCTGAACTCCGCGGGCGCCCGCATACAGGTGGTATGCACACACAGAGCACAGAAAGGCTCAGACTTTTTGGGTGCAGGAGCGGCACACCCCACCAGCCTCAAGCGCAAGCCAGCACACACGCCAGGGGCGCAGCACGCAGACTTCCGGGCCAGGCCTTCGCGTTCCTGATTGGTCAGGTGACGACGCGTGCGTGCGTCCGAGGGCGGAAGGGGGCGTGTCCGCCTAGGAGGTGGCGAGATGGCGGCTTCGGGTTGTCGCCGGTGTGTTCGCTCGCTACCTGGAGTCATGCTGTGGCGGTGCAGGTACGGCCTGTCGGGAGGCTGCTGGGGCGGGGGCATCCCGGACCAAGCCAGGCTGTGGGGAGAGGAGGAGCCAGGTATCGTCGTGGGCTCGCCGCGAGTAGGTCTGACAGGGACAGGAATGACACGGAGCCACCTTTACCTCTGCTCAAGAGCAGGCGCCACAACCACCGCGTGGACTGTGAAATAAGTTCGGGTGTGGCCTAAAGACTCTACTGGTCCTTTCCAACTAGGTGGAACAAACTGATTATGCTGTCTGCTGGTCACTAGAGTGGAAGCGGAGCTGAACGCCCTGTCTCAGGTGTTCGCGTTCGCAGCAGAATCGTGTGGTTCGGAAGAGCAGAGCACTACCAAGCGACTTCCACTTAAAGTCTTAAAGTTTTAAAGCTTTGAGGTGAAAGGATTAGATTGGGTTATCTGAAAAATCTGTGGTGTAATTGTGGTCTTTATCCTGCTGACCTCAGATGTCTATGTTCCTTAAGTTCCTAGGCTGCTACAGGTGGAAGAGACCTGAGGGATCTTATAAATGCCATTTATTTTGTCTGTTTGAGACAGAGTTTCGTTCTGTAACCCAGGCTGGCCTTGAAATCACAGCAATCCTCCTGTCTCATCCTCCCTCCAAGTGCTTTCCAAATGCTGGGATTACAGGCATGAGCCAGCTGTTTTTTCTTTTTTGTGGGTTTGGGAGAGACGAGGAGTAAGTTCTTAACCCAGGGAGGAGTGAAGAAAGATAGTTCTCTATTTTGCTGAGTAACTCACTTCATAGTCAGCCCTGATTTGAATACATATGATTGCCTGTGTCCATAGGGCTCTCAAAATGTCCTAGAACTACCTGGGTGTATAGTTTGTGAGCCCCCTGACATGGATGCTGGAAACCAAACTCTTAATTGCTGAACCCTCTCTTCAGCCCCAACATTGCTCAATTTTTAAAAACTATAAATGTGTATGGATGTACACATGTATGCCTGTGTACCCGTGTGTTCCTGGTGTTCATGGAAGCCAGAAGAAGACATTTAATCCACTGGAACTGCAGTTACAGGTCGTCGTGAGCTGCTATTGGGTGCTGAGAATTGAACCCAGGTCCTCTGGAAGAGCAGCTCATGCTCTTAATACCTAAGCCCTCTCTGCAGCCCCTGATGAATTTTAAATACTGGTAAAAAGGATGTGCCTCATTCACCATTAAAAATGGAAGGCAAAAAAAGTCATCCTTTAGTGCCAGTGATAGATAGGCAAGACTGGAATTTGGTGCAAGGGTGGAAAGGGATGAGGATATGTCTAGAATACAGTTATCAAATTTGTTATACATTAAGGTATAAATAGATATACATAAGAGATAACATTTTTCTAAGTTTTAAGTAATGTATTATCTAGTTGTAAGAGGTAAATGAAGGCTCCATGTTTTTCTTTTTTTAAAAAAATTAATTTATTTTTGTGGTTGAGGTGTTTTGTCTGCAAGTATTTCTGTGCATCCATGGTGAGCACAGGAGCTATTGGCATTTCTCAGGATAGTGAGTCCAAGGGGGTTCTGGGAAATAAACCCAGGTCTTCTGGAAGAACAGCCTGCGCTCTGTAGCTTTGAAGCCTGTCCTGGAACTAGCTATTGTAGACCAGGCTGGTCTCAAACTCACAGAGATGTGCCTGCCTCTGCCTCCCAAGTGCTGGGATTAAAGGCGTGTGCCACCACCGCCTGGCTTCAGCCCCAAAGTTTTTCAGTAATTGAGTGATGTGTGATAACAGGAGAGAAACATCTTGGGTTATAATTTAGAGTCATACATATTTTCTAAACGTATTTAATGAGAGTGGGTAAGGAGGTGATTCATCAGGAAAAAGCAGTAGCTGATTCACATTTCGTTCTTAGAAGTCTTGTGGACAGCTGAATTTAGTGACTTTCATCTATAATTGCAGCTCACCTATATTGAGGTGGCAGGTAGAGAGGAGAACTGGAGGAGCTCAGGGGCTAGTGCAACAAGACTGCCTCAACAAGGTGCAATCAAGAACCAACTCCCAAAAGCTGTCCTCTGAGCACCACATGCGTTCACGGTGTGAACTTGATTGCGTTTTCTCTCTCATACACACAAGACTGGTGCTGGCTTGGTGACTAACGCTCATAATCCAAATACTTGGGAAGTGGAGACAGGAGGTTCAGAAATTCAAGGCTGTCCTTGGCTATGTTGGTAGTTACAGACTATCCTGGGTTTTATGAGACCATGTCTCAGACATTACTACCCCAACTTGCTAACAACTTGGTTTGGCTGAAATGTTCAGTAAAGGTAGAGATTAGCAGTTATGCGCCAATCTTCGCCAGTTCCAGAAGGAGGTGGAGGTATAGGTTTGGGTTCTGACAGCTGTACTTTTTACAAGCACTCTAGGTTGTAAGTTCAGGCAAGTCTAGACAGTCTAATGGACAAGGGAAATACTTTACTACTACCTTGTAGAATGCGGGGTAAAGCTTTCTAGAGATCTGCAAGTTCAGCTTTAGAGCTCTCTGGCTTTTGAAAGTAAAAAAGAGAAGTGAGGACAGTAGTTAAGATGTTAGCACCCACGGTGATACTAAAAACATCTTGTGGGGCTGGAGAGGGTACTCAGTGGTTAAGAGCACTTACTGTTCTTCCAGAGGACCTGCATGGTGACTCACAGCCTTCTGAAACTCCAATTCCAGGGCATTAGAAACCCTCTCTGAGCTCCATGGGCACTGCATGGACATGGTGCACAGATATACACATCGGCAACACACACACACATGAGATCTTGGCAGTTTTCTGTAAAAATTAAAGATGTGCAAACACTGTCTCTAAGCAGAGTCTGTTGCTTGCTCACCTGGCTGTCTTTAATCTTTGGTGGAAATAAAACTAAAGAAAAATAACTTTGAGGCAGGTGAATCACTGTGAGTTCTATGCCAGTCTGGTCTACAAGAGCTAGTTCCAGTAAAACTTCAAAACTACAGAAAACCCTGTCTCAAAAAACAAACAAAATTTTTAAAGCCCCTCCCCCCCAACAATGGGACTGGAGAGGTGACTCAGCCCTTAAGAGCACTTATTGCTCTCACAGAGGACCTGGATTGGGTTCCCAGCACCTACTTGGTAACTCCAGTTTCAAGGGATCTTATGTCCTTTTCTCTCCTTGTGGGCACTGTACACATATATGAATACATACAGGCAAAAAATAATATAAAAACCTTTGCAACTGGGAACAGACCAGCCTGGATAGACATTGGTAATTGGAA